CGCGTATTTGTGTTTCCATCCTTTAAATTTACTGAAGGAGCGGAACGCTTCGTAAGCTATGTTGGCAGTGAGCAGACTAATGGTGTATTGCGAGCGGTCAACGAGAGCAAATATGCCGTTTTTGATCCTTTATCGGCCTGCATTTTTGTAACATCCCTGGATTCCCAAAAAACGTCAGCCTTTTCTGACTCGGAATTAGTTCGCATGCTCCAGTCTTTTCCGTGGTAAGTTGTTCATTGTCTCATGCGTCCCTTTACTGGCCCGAGAGTTCACGGAATCGCATGATCTTCAATTTCCAGGACTTGTTTTTGCCTACTGATAAAATTTATGAATTACAGAAGTATGCAGGATTTCTCGCTCTAGGAGAACCTCCAGCTTCTATTTACCGACCAACCTTCGACATATCTTTACCCATTTATAGTTCTGAAAACATCAATTCTGAGCATCCGTTGTCGAAGTAAGTTTCTCTGTTTGCATTTTATAATTTCAGCCGGATTTACTTACTGACCGTAATTTCAAAGAATCCTCTGTTTAACAGTGCTAAAGGACGACCATACCTGCTACCAAAACCTTTATTTGAAACTCATTTACCAAGCGCGCTAACTTACATAAACGAATCGGATATTACGATCGACGGGTTACCTCTCAAAGCCGTCATTCACGTCGACCTATTTAAACGACGTTTCACGATTCCTATAACCCTTCCTGCCTTACTTTCTCAAAGTTACTTTTGTCTTCTCGATCATATAACAATCCCCAGTCTTACCTTGCTCGACGTGATGAGGGCTGGCTGTATACCAGTAGTAATCGGCTACGATACTGAGCTACCATTCTTCGAGAAACTTGACTGGACAAGGTGAGTCATAAAAACAATAAAATTTTATCCATCCCTTTTAGCTCGACCCTTCGCATGAAGAAATTTGATCTGGACTATATGCTTAATGTCATAAGTCATTTGTCATTAAGCGAAGTAGACTTGCTCCAAACCCACGTTCGGCATTTCTTCGATTCGCGTTTCTCCTCAATCTCAAAGATTGTGTCTTCTACACTAGACATTGTGAACGAACGCGTCTTTCCTAACTTAGCAAAATCTTCAGCTGCCTGGAACGACCCCGATTTTTCTGAAGTATGCATTTCTTTATATTCGCCTCTTTATTGGAATTTACCCTTTACTTTGCTGTAGATGCAGGTAGCGCAAAAAGTTGCTGGTTTGATATCTTCTGTTCGGTTTTTATCGTTGGAATATTAAGGTACATTGCGAGACTTTTACACTGTTTCTGAACGCCATACTGTGGAGGAAATGTTTTTTGCGTTCTCAAACTATTTATTCCGAAATTCAGCTTCGCCATTAAGTTCTCGCTTCATCACAGTGGTCCTGATTTGGGTTCAGTCTGTATGACCTCATTGTGTTTGATCACGTTATATAACACAATGCCGCCAAGATTACTGCGTTTTAAGGTCTGTCACCTTATAACAAAGATAACAGTGCATTTGGACAGCGATGATAATGTTTTGGTGATGTCGCTGCTGCGCATTGGCGCGACTATTTCAATCTCCACAGAGGTCTCTAGAGTCAACGTGAAGTTACTCTGGTTACCAAGTTACAAGTATACGACGTCTTCATCCTTCAGCGCAAATGTGAGACATGAGCCTCACGCTCAAGATTTATACACCGTCCGATGGTGTTTACACCCGGTTCTCTCAATTCGTCTCTCTTATCACCTCTCCAACGAAGAACCCTAACCTCGGCGACAACGAAACCGGTCAACTGCTTCCTCGTTACTCGCCCAATAAAATAGGTTAACCACCTAGTACGCCAACCCTAGGCACAGTCGTCTAAGACGTTATCCCGTATGATCCCGGTTCTGACCGGCGACAGTGTTGATGTGATCAGCTGGAGATACCACTAAGTGTAAAGAGAGTTGACGGTGAGTATATCTCTAGCTGTTTGGTAGGTGTGCACCCCAGCCTAATCTCGTTGAGGAGTCTACTGTTGACCGACTGCAATGAAGAGTGATCGTTCCTGGTATGGTGATCTGACGGTACGGTGTCGACAAAATAAGTTTTAATGAATGATGTCGGAAATACAAGCATTACGGTAAATGAAAACTGGATTAACGACTGGCCCCAGTGTCTTGCATCTGATCTTGTCATGTTTATTAGTATTATTATCAATATCCGTCTGCGCTTTTCTTTGAAGTTTTGATGAAATAACCGGTCGTTCATTCCAATCAGAAAATTCGAGGCCTCCCTAAACCAAAACTTCATCAATTTTAAAGACTTGCACTTTTTTCGTCTCTCATCTTCGTAACTTAAATTATATCAAGTTGACTACTATGTTACACTGTTCTAGTAGCTGTGTGAACTATCTTCTAGGCAGATATTTCATCTTTCTGTGTTGCGGGTGTATGAACAGATTTTGTCGCGCTGATTTTTATCGGTTAAAGGATTCGCCAGGTACAAACCACTCGGGACATTAAGTTGGTGGAACTTTCTCCATCTGGTTAAGTACGGATCAACATCGAGTTTGGAGTTTTCTTCAATTTTGCCCTTGACAGCCTTATTATTTCATAGAAATTTTTTTCCCAGGAGGGGGGCGTCAGGAAATAATAACTTTCCTTGCTTTTTGGTCGCAGGTGATTATAGTCTATGATTAAGTTTTTCGCTTATTACAAGTTATCAGGTGGTACTAACTTTGTATGCTCAGTGTGCAAGCGATACTGATGTTGTCCACTACTGATTGTGGAAGAATGAATGTTTCTTCCTTAGAGTGTACGAGAAGCGATTCTCCCATCAGTCTATGCTTGGCCTGCGAAAAGATAAATATAAGACTCTAGTAATTTCTGTGTCCTGATAACCGTAGTTTTTTTTCTTACTGCCTTTTGTTTTGGCTGCGCTATAGAATGAAACATATTGTAAAAACCTAGGTAAATATCTACTGATTCCAATTTCCCACCAACAAGTTGTTTCTAAATTTTAATTACCTTTCGTTTCATTCTTCTGCCACAAAAGCTTTTTGGCTCTTCGGCCTTAGACGCTGATTTCTTCCCTGTTGGCTTGTGCAATCTGCACTAGCTGGTATAGCTCTTTAAAACTTAACCTAAATTCTACAGTGTTTTTGTTTAAAAAGGACGAATTGGGTGGTTTTTAATATTTACTATCGTAAGATGTAATTCTAAAATATTACAGTCACCCAATGTCTCCTTTAGAATACACCTCCCTTTAATAGTTTATAAAAGCCGCACTGGGTAAAAATGACTGCCTTAGTAGTATGGGTACTTTTCATCGGTTTTTGATGTCTCTGTAGATTCAAACATTTTTGGCAGAAAGCATGAACAGGGCAGAACCTTTCTTGAGCTCACTTGTAACACTTTTTTCTTCTCTCGAAAATAGGGCGTTTCCCAGTTTTTAAAGGCGTTTTTCTGTCCCAGAATACTTTTAAGACGTTTCACGTATATTCGGAGTTTCCAAACCGCAAACTGTACAATTTCCGGGTAAGGAGAATGATTATTTCTTGTATTCACTCGGGTCGGTATCTTCTAGGGCTCATACAATTCTGCAATGCATGCAGACCACGCTGCATACTTCATAAGGACGTTAATAACAGAATAGGTAGAGTGAAATTTCACTGGACACCCCAAAATCTTAAAAATCTCAAATTGAAAATTGAAAACCCAAAGCTATTATTTATTTTAACGCAAAATTCGAAGGTTTGATTTATTATGAAATGACTACAAGAAAGGGTATTTTTGTGCGTATGTTTATTGAATATAGTATGGCTGATAAGGGCATAGAAAATCTGTGCAAAAACATACAACTCAAGTGGTTATTTTTGGCCGAGTGCGGTTTTTGCAGGTATCCAGAAAAAGTCACATTCAACAACTGACATCATGATGTTACTTAAGTATCTGGATATCATGTTGTACAACAATAATCTTACAACCCCACTTAAATAATCCGTTTGATCGATTAACATTTCACGGGATACGTGAACTACCGAACGGGGGACGCGGACTTTAGCACCCTTAACTGAGAATGTCTCTGTCAACCCGGACAGTCACCAAATATTTTCCGCTGTTCTATACACGCAACTTTTAAAAGTCTGAACCTTCAATCCAGTAAGTTTCATGGAGTTCCGAGTCGTGCTACATGTACATTTTGGTCACTTGCCCTTGACGAGTACTATAATTTAACGACTTACAGTAGACGCCGTTGAGCATGCAATATTTCGACATAAGTATAATCGGAATTGACTCCAGTTGTGATACTGATTATCGTGTAGTGTATTTTGAGGTGACTCAAGTTGTGATACTGATTATCGTGTAGTCTATTCTGAAGTCATTTCAGCGACTCCAGTTGTGATACTGATTATTGTGTAGTCTATTCTGAAGTCATTTCAGCCAACATTTCGACATATGCGAAAGACTAATACTCTTTCGCTAATCGGAATTGAGCCCTTTCGACATATGCGAAAGACTAATACTCTTTTGCTAATCGAAATTGACTCCATTTGTGATACTGATTATTGTGTAGTCTATTCTGAAGTCATTTCAGTCAGGATAGGTATACTGATTATTGTGTAGTCTATTCTGAAGTCATTTCAGTCAGGATAGGATGCCGGCCTTTTAACGAGCTTCATTTCGACCA